GCAGGTGCAGGACACCACCCCAGGGGACATCCGTGGCTGTGCACACCAGCCTGCAGCCCATACGACCCAAGCCTGTCATTTTGCGCACTGCCGCCAAGCCAGCTATCCTGTTTGGTTGTTGTACTATTGATTTTTTGACCCTCAGGGCCTTCTCCATTTGTGCCCAACGCCTTCCATCTCCCAGTTCCAGCAGGGTGTTCCAGCTGTGGAGGAGATGTGGAGTATTGATTCTGTCATTCAGCACATCAGCTCTCCCTAATGACTCCGTGTCATCTGCAAATTTGATAAGCATGCCTCTGATGTCTTTATCAAGCCACTGATTCCACCGCTTGGCAAGCTGGGACGGCAGCCCGCCAGGGCCTCCTCCAGGTCGACACAGAACCATTCATCCACTTGTCCACACTCTGGGGCTCCTGGTGTTCGATCAGAAGTAAATCCACCTGCCTCTGGAGCTTTTCCGAATCTCTGTCCTGGCAGCAGCTGAACCTTTTCTTCCTGGCAGAAACCATGCAAAACCCCATGTGTGATGGGACGGTGGAGGGGCTTCTCTGGCTGAAGCCGAGAAGGTGTTTCCTCCCTCTGCACTCCCACCCCAAGGCAGCAGCACAGAACAGACTCCAGAACCCTTACATCTGCTTGCATGCACGAGGCCAGCTCACGACACTGAGGCCAGCCCAGAGACGGTGGGGAAATGGGACCATGCTTCGGCCCCACGGCCAGCCCTGCCCCACTCACCAAACGGCGAGCAAGGGGGCAGAGGACGAGCAGCCCACTGCCCTGGGGGGTGTGGGGGCAGAGGCTACAACTCGTAGGGGGAGTGGCTTGACCGCCTTCCTGTGGAGACTGCCAGGAGACGTGTGTGGGGATGTCTGGGTGTGAGATTAGGACTCGCTGCAGGAGGCAGAGCTCTGCCAAGCCACTTCACGGCATCTTTTGCCACAAACGTCACCAAACGCTGAGGCCAATTCACCAAACACAGCCAAGGAGCACTCCTCGTCTCCTGGGAGCCTGCCCACTGGGGGGGCACGAATCCACGGCTGGTCTCCCCATAAACATTCTCTTCAATGGGGAGGAAACAAGCAGGGAGCTCTCGCATCGGGGCAGTCCTTGCCTCTGGACAGAAAAGGCGATACTCCGTGAGGTCCTTAGGTGCTGGCCCGCCATCTGCAAAAAGGCCCGCCAAACGCCCCTTTGTCTGAAGTAAAGCTGGGGATGGCAGCACTCCAAAACTGGCACATAAAAAGTGGAGGGACGCAGGGGACGGTTTTAGCTTTTGAGATCAAGTTCCAGGCTCAAGAAGGCAGCAACTTCTGCTAAGGGTGCCAGCACTGCCTATTGCACTAGAACCGGCATTAAAACCTTCCCACCACCCTAGGCCGATCAGTAGAGGGCGCTGCGTCACCACTCTGCCTGTAGCCCTGGCTTCAGTGACTTGATCCCTGTGTCCACACAAAGACCACACTCCGAGGAGTGTTTCTTATGCTTGTGGTTTAACAGTACGTGAAGTCAAGGAGCAAAACACAAACTTGCCATTATACACTGTGCTATGCTATTACCTGTGAAAAAAATACACAGAAAAAAGACTCGAAGGAAATATAACAAAAGAGTATGAGCATTTGCTGATTGGAACCAGAATTTCTGTTTTTTTTTTTTCATTATTCTTTATGTTCTGGTTTGCTGATTGGTTCCAGAATTTCTGGGTTTTTTTTTTTTCATTATTCTTTATGTTCTGCCAATATTCGAGAAGTTTGAATATTCTAACAGCCAGAAAAGATGCATGCAGTAATCAGGGTTGTGGGAGTTGTCTGTAGGGCCTGCAGCACAGGGTCCTTGGCTGTCAGAGAAGCATTCGGTGCCCGGACTGAGGCAGGTGCCAGGGAAGTAACAAGGGACAAGACCAGTTCTGGTTCACAGGTTACAGTGTGACCACAGGACAACCTGAAATCCAAATGACCAAGAGATGCTTAGGGGAGCCCAACGCAGGCTGACCCAAGGGGGCTCAGGGAAGGCTTCCTGGGAGAGGAGTCGTTTGAGCTGAGATCTACTAGGGGAATGCAAGCCACGTCCACTGCAAGGTGTCCGCACCAGGTCAGCCTGAAGCCTGAGGCTTGAGGCTGGGGGGGGAGAAGACAAGAAATCAGGGAGCTGGACATGGACACCCCATGCCTTCTTGAGGAGCTTGGTCCTTGCCCTGCAGGGTCTCCCATGGGAGACCCCAACACCTGGAGCACAAACATCCTCCCACCCTGGCTCACCTTCGGGGGAAGGCTGGCAGAGTCCTCTACTGGAGAGTACACCGAGGCCAGAGGCCTCACACACTATTTCCTAAGCCTTCCATGGAAAATTCAAGTAAGCAATGAACATTTCATTTTTAGAAAATCAAAGACACTGCGTAGGAAAACAATACCAAAAAAAAAAAAAAAGTAACTCCACAAGAACCAACACCCCTGACGAATTAGGAGGCTCATGCAGGTACGCGGCTTCCCGTAAATTACCACACAGCGAGAGAGAAGCGCTCGGGACAGACAAGTGGTTTTCACTTGGGAGCATTAATGTACATTCAATTACCCTACTGCATACTGGCTGACTTAACTCAGCCAGATTAGAATACATTTTATATTGACTATTTTGACATTTGTTTTATTTGGCAAGTAAAACAAAACTGATCCAATTTCCTTGCAGCCATTGTTAACCATAAACTGTACAACAGAGGTTATAAAATATACAAGCCTTATAAACACTTCGCTGAGACGCGCTGCCCTCCATCCCACCCGGCTCCCAGTGGCCTGCTGTCCCCGGGCTTGCTAGCTCCAGCTGGAAGTGGCCCGATGCTGTCACATTGACCCGCGGCTTCCGGGACTCCCCCGTCCAACTTTACCTGGGAGAGTCGATGTCTTTCCGTATCCACCAGGAAGTTAAACCTGCCCCGCAGTGGTGTCCATTTCTGGGGCCTTCCAGACCACAGAAAGCCAACAGGGAGCACTCGTAACGACTTCAAGGCTCTCTGGCCTCTGAAATGAGGACCCCAACCCAGGTGACAAACAAGCCTGACTCAGCACGGAGATGAGCCTCGGCTCACCTCTGAGCACATAGGGGATGGGCCCTGGCTGAGCCCTACCCCTAGCACAGGTGATGGGCCTCAGCTGACCCCTAGCACAGGTGAGGGGCCTCGGCTGACCCCTAGCACAGGTGAGGGGCCTCGGACCAGGTGATGGGCCTCGGCTGACCCCTAGCACAGGTGATGGGCCTCGGCTGACTCCTAGCACAGGTGAGGAGGGGCCTCGGCTGACCCCTAGCACAGGTGATGGACCTCAGATGACCCCTAGCACAGGTGATGGGCCTCAGGCGACTTTGGCACAGGTGAGGGGCCTCGGCTGACCCCTAGCACAGGTGATGGACCTCAGATGACCCCTAGCACAGGCAATGGGCCTCAGGTGACTTTGGCACAGGTGAGGGGCCTTGGCTGACCCCTAGCACAGGTGCTGGCCCTGTCACAGGTGATGCCGTGATTTGGGGCACGTGTTGGGCCTCGGCCAACCTCCAACACCGGTGGCAGGCCTCAGCTCATCTGAGCACAGGTGAACTGCCCTCCAGGTAAAAGCAATGATGGTGCTCTTAGCAAGAAAGGAAGGAACCAGAGCTGTCCCAGCCTCACTCCCCTGAAACAGAGGGACTAACCTGCTCCACCTGTAACTTGGAGAAGCTCATTAACTATCATATCTTTCTATGTCTAAGTAAAAAGAAAAAACTGCTTCTTAAGTTCCAGGTGATTCCGGGGGTCATTAAGTTTAAATCCCACTCTCAGTTCGTGACACTGCCAGGAAAAAGAACAGATGGTGTTTATGGGGGAACGTCCCAGAGTGCGAGCAGGGGCGGGGGCGGGAGGAGCCAGGCGGTGGGTGTCCTGACCTGTTCCTTGCAGCTTTTGTTCTTCTCTACTCACCCACGTGGACACTTCTAGGTCCGCTCGATCTCATGTTACATCAGTCCCCAGTTCTTACCTGTGCTTTTTACTTCTGCAATCCTTTTCTCAAACTTCACCCATCTTTAGAGTCTGTTTCTTGCCCTGTGACCTAGCACTAGTGATGTGTGGAATCCTACTCGACAGGATTCTTTTCACCTCTGCTTCTGCCGACGGTGTGGACACCATGACTGCCCCGCGGTACTGCCAGCAGTTGCAGAGTGGCCACTTGGCTCCCCCAAGTTCCTCTGTGTGAACAATTATTAAACTGACACCTGAAAAACTCACAGCTCTCACATCCCCAACTACCTATTAATCTGTAGCTCACTGGAAAAATAAACACTGTTACGGACCCACCCCCTGCAGTTTCAAATGTATCACTGGCCAAGGTGAAGAAGGAATTTGACCTTTGTTTGTTTGTTTTAGAGAGTTTTTTTGTGATAGGGTACATACACTTGCCAGAGAGACAGAGAGAAAAAGCGAGAAATCACCCCCACCCCCCACCCTGGAGGTGTCCACACCACAATCCCTTCTCCATTATCCTCTCAGGATTTGGGGCATGCATGTACACACACCTGGCAAGATATTCAAGCCACCAGGTCCGGGACTTGAACCGCCATCAGCCATGTGGGAGTACAGTTCATTAACCACTATATCACCTGCTGGCTTTTCCCTCCTCCTCCCTCGTCCCTTTTCTAAGGTTTTCACTTTCCTAAGGCCAGCGACCCCAATCACGTGGTTACAAAGCGTGTCTGTGTGTACATAGGGCTCTTTTGAATAACAGGTCTATTTTAAGCTGCACAGTTTGCTATTTTGGGAACCTGCAGGACGTGTGTACACAATAGAACACTGGATGGCCTTCACACTCGGGTAATGCCAAGATTTCTGCCTGGACTTCTGCTCTCCTTCAGGAATCCACCTCCTACAGTGTTCAGCCGTACTCTGCACAGCGGCAGCAGGTGCCAGGCGGAGGAGTTGACGAGTGTGTCCAGCACACCACGGCCACACGGCAGCACAAGACACCATGGACGAGGCTCACCTGGGAAGGTTAGGGGCTGGGGTGGACGCGGCAGATGACTGCGAAGGTGAAGGCGTTGTGGGTTGAGATGAGTCGTGATTTCTTGGTACTCTGCCCATTCGATACCAGATCCCCATGCTGTTTAGTTCCCTTCAGGAGAAAAGAGAAATCTTCAAGACTCGGTTTAGTGCGAAGCATTTGCCTGAGGGACTAAGCAAAGCCCTTGCCTCGAACAGCAGGGAATCGACCATCACCCACCTGTCAGGTGAGTTCACCCCTCTGTACTCTGTCTTGGTTCAGAGGCCAACGTGAGGACAGTTGTCCTGTCTAGGCATGTCCTTATGACGTGGCCATCTTTGTCACCCACCCTGAGCTTGCCTTCTTTTTTTTTTTTTTTTTGAGGTTTTTGCTATAGGGCGCATGTGCTCGCCAGACAGAGACAGACAGAGAGATAGAAAGCGCGAAATCACCCCCCGAGAGGGGATGGCCACGCCGCAATCCCTTCTCCTCCATTCTCCTCTTGGGATCTTGGGCACGCACATACATGCGCCCGGCGTGAGTTTTAAGCCACCCGGTCCGGGACATGAACCGCGGTCGACTACGTGGGAGTCCAGGAACAAAGCCATTATGCTAACTGCTGGTCCCGAGTTTGCCTTCTTATTCCTACTGACACTTTCCTTGTGTCGCCATCTATCCATTGCAGGTAGTTACGTGATAAGTGACATTAGGTCCTTGAGCAGTCAGGGTGAGACAGACGGAGAAATGGGCCCATAGACACATGCCTGGTTTCTAACCATGGGAACTAGCCTGCCCTACTCTGCAGACCTTCAGAACACAGCCCCCTGCGGCTACGTGTCACCTGCAGTCAGCCTCAGTCTCGGGGTCCGTTGGGGAGACATTCTCAGGCTATAAAACCTAAGGTACCCACCCTACAAATTGCCACAACTGAGAGTGGCGAGGGGTCTCACAAGTGCCATGTCAGGTTTCCTGTTGATAAGCCCCCCACGCGTACACACACATACCCTGGCCCCACGACACACAGTCATGAGTGTCTATGACACAGGCATGCTCCTAGCAACTGTGCCAGCATTATTTTAGCCACATCCCATTCTCAGCTTCTCAACTGCCCACAGAACTGCGTCTTTGAGACCTGAACGCCTTACTCCCTACGTCCGTCTCGTAAGCTTCTCTGCACCCGCAGAACTCCTCTACCCCCCGTTTCTGTCTCCCTAGGGGAGGCACGCCAGTCTCGGCACTGAGTTCACTGTGTCCTGGTCAGAACCTCAAGATGCCAGTCTTGGCAGGAATGGTGTTGAATGTGAGGTTTCTCTCTCCCCCAGCAGACAGCCCCAAATCCTTGCAAAGTGACATGTGGAATTGTACCTGTTTTTTAAGAGTAAGTGACTTATTAGAGTTCTGAATGTGGAATTCTCTCCCCTTATATAAAAACAACACCAGAATGGTCTTTCTCTGGAAAAGAACTTTTGCCCCAAGATGAAACAAAATTATACATTAGCAATCTTTTCAAAATGATATGAAAGAAAAAAGATCCTAGTTTTGATTATCAAGACTTGTACTGGGGGACCAGCAGGTGGTTAAGTTGCTGGACACTCCCACATGGTCGACCATGGTTCGAGTCCCAGATCTGGCGGCTTCCTGCGTTCTCCCTTTCTCTTTCTCTCTCTCTGGTCAAATTAAAATAAATGAATGAATAAATAAAATTAAATAAATAATAATTTTTAAAAAGACTTGTATTAGTAAAAATCTATCCTTCATATCTGTTTAAATTGGTTAAAAATGAAACCTTTCTACAATAAAGCAGTTTGAAATAAAAACTACACACAGGTAACTGGTTACAGTAGCACCACGCTCCCTCCAGGGGAGCATGTGGCGGGACCCCCCCACCTCGCATGTGAAGGGACCCAGGTCCTTCTACTGTTCCTTGAGCTCCCACTCCCAGCCACGACCCCTGCCTCCTGAAGTCTTCTGTAGGTCAGCTGACAACGTCTTCCTTTTAAGTCAGTCTGGGCTGGGTTTCCTGTCACTTACAATCAAAAGAGCCCACAGCGAAATCCTGAGATTCCACCGTCCTTGGTGTTTATGAAAGGCTGAAGAGCCAGGCCCTGCTCCTCAGGAGGCTCCCAGGGAAACCAGATGCGAACGGACCCTGGCTGCAGCATTTCTGTTTATCAGGATGGCGGACACCAGACCTGACCACTGCTCAGCGACTGGTGCAGCCGACACAGGCACGGAAGACTTGTGTTTCTTGCTGGTTAGAGTCCTCCAATGGCTTGGAACCAAGTCCAGACCGCCGCCATATCCTGAGAGGTCCTGCCAACCCTCCCCTCAATCTCAACACCCCGACTTGTGCATTCCAGCCACACTGGGCTGCTCTCTGTTCCAGAACATGCCACGTGCATCTCACTTTTACACTCACCCTCCTGCTCTGCCCACAGGGCTCTGCCTTCACCTTGGCATGGCTCTTTCTTCTCTACGGTCAGGTCTCTGCTCGAATGTCACCTTTGTGAACCCTAACCAAACAAGCCCCCGCTCATCACTGTGCTTCATTTTTTCCTCTCTGAGACAATCCCATCAGGGTCCTGGGAGCAGGGCCTGCTCCTCACTCTCCACCATGCCTGGAGCCTGGTGCAGCTGACAAAGTGGGGGCTCCAGACTCGTGGGGTCAGTGAACGGTGCACAACAGTGAGCACCTTTGGTACCACAGAGGCATGCGGGTGGAGCCAGAGGTGCGAGAAGGGCGAATGTGCAGAAGCACAGGGTGGGAGGCCCTAGGTGGAGTGAGTAGCCTGAGCCAAGGCACTGAGGTCGCCGGCACGGCTGGGCGGGCTGCAGCTAAGCAGGAGGGCAGCAGTGAGGCTGGCAGGCCGATGAGAGGCAGCACCGAGGGCCTCGCGGGACTTGTCCCCAGGACTGTGCGCTCAGCACAGAGCAGCAGGGGATTATGATCAGACTTACCCGATAAACGTGTACTGAGGGGGGGCCTGCTTCGTCCGGCCCATGATCCGAATGTCACAAATGGCTGCTTCAGTTGAATCCCGAGGGATGAACTTAATACACAGCCTCTTCTTTCTAAAGGCCACTTCCTCTGAAGGAAAGGAGAACGGAAAAGGTGTAAGTCCTCAGAGATGCCACCATTTCTGTTCTGAGCCCCTGTCACGCCGTGCCCTCCTGGCTGCAGAAAGTCGTGATCCATCCATGTTGCCCGACAAAGGGCTGGGCTCTGCCTCGCCTGGCTGGCCTGTGTGGACAGGCTCTGATGGCCACCCCGTGCTCAGGGCCTGACCCACTCACCTGCTACCAAGGAGCACCCCTCACCAGGAGCACACCACATCGCATCTGCAATGAACAGGTGGTGCCTTCTAGAAGCCTACTCTGCTCACTGCTCGAGTCATCAGATTCCTACACACTGATGTGCTCAGTGTTAACTCGCTTCAACACGCGGACTTTTATCACAGAAATCCTCACACAGACCTCCAAGTAGAGAGAAAGGAAAAACTCACATGTCCCCATCACCCTGTTTCTGGACCTGCTATTTTTATCTCCCGCCTACCCCACTTAGTTTAGCTGGAACATTTTAAATAAACCCCAACACCGTGCCATGGTGCCCATCGGCATCTCAACAGGCATGCAGGCAGACCGCGTTCCGATGTGACCACCATGCCGTTACCGCTCCTAAGCAAAGGGGCAAACCTCCCCCTCACCCGACAGCCTGCCCAGTCAGGTGTTCTCCACGCTCTCACAAATGGCCTTTCACTCTGGGCTTGTCTGGAGCAAGATCCAGACACCGTCTGTGCTCTGCCCTAGGTTGCTAGGCCTCTTATGCCCCTTTGAGTCTGTGACAGCCTCTCCTAGGTCCCTCTTTCTTCAGGGCACTGAGGGGCAGGAGAATGTGGGTGATTTCTCTGACTCCCTTTCCTGTGAACTATCAAGAGTGAAGCTTGATTCGATTCAGGATGGAGTTTTAAAGAGCAGACAGGTCGCAGGTGGTAGGTGCACTTCTGTTGGCGTCACATCCCCGGCCTGGAGTCCAGCTGTGCCCCTCCCGCTGGGACCTCAGTCGTGAAGGTCCAGGCTACCGCACCCTGAGCAGTTTGCTCATCACCTGAGACTCACGCTTTTATTGAACATTTCAAATGGTCATTTTCTCGTATTCATGCTTCTGCATTCACAGAGATTCTTCTATATAAAAAATAACTTTTCTTTGTCAACTCCTTGGCCTCCGGGAGACAAGTTCTGTGCGTGTGCAGGAAAGGACGAAGTGTGTAGTTCTCGTCTTCAGTTGCCAAGGCTCAGGGTAAGGAGCTGGCGCTCATGCCCTGTTCCAGTGGCCAGTGAGGCATCTGTTTGCTTGTCTGTAGTTTTCTGCTTTTTTTAAAGGAGATTTTTGGTAGAAGATGCATGTGCTCCCCAGAGAGATAGAAAGCGAGACATTATTTCCCAGGGGGGATGGCCATGCCGCAATCCCTTCATTCTCCTCTGAGGATCCTCGCAGGATCTTGGGCATGCATGCACACATGCCCAGCATGAGTTTTAAGCTGCTGGGCCCAGGACCAGAACCACGGTCAACTACATACTACATAGGAGTCCAGCGACGTGACCATTACACCATCTGCTGGTCCCCGTCTGAGTTTTAAATGTGGGTTTTAGTTGACTGCAGCCCTTCCATACAGGAGTCAGATGGACCAGCTCGAAATCCCGACTTTGCCATACCCTGGCACTCTGACCGTAGATAAGCTTACTAATGTCTTTGAGCCTAAAAGGGACTGAGTGAAACGCCATTCCACAGGGACACAGGGTAGATGTGGTAACGCAGGCAGTGCCCGGCCCACAGGAGGTGGTGCTCAGTAAAGAACAGCCACGAGGCTCTTGTCATCATCATTACACATAAGCCCCGGTGCATCATTAATGTCCAGCTTTGGTACTGACTTTCAAGACTCCAGTTCTGCGGCAGGAAATGAGCACATTTAAACCGAGGAGCAGAATGAGAAGGGCGGTCCTGCCTCCAGTCTTGTGATTTGACCAAGGGGGAACTACAGCGAGTGGTATTTTGTTATTGTTATTTTTTTTGGAGGGTGCGGTTATTTTGGAAAGAGCCAGATGGGAACTCAGAAACTCCGTGGGTTCTTCCTCCAGGTGGACAACCGAGGGCTAGATCTAATTTGCAAGCCTTGAGCAATAATATCCCGATTCCAGACCCCAGAAATTGTACCTAATGAGGCAGACAGCATCCTGCGGGGAGGGGAGTCCACAGCAACCCTGCACCTTCGAAATGACTGCCTGGTATAAGGTGAGACCCTCTCTCGAAGTAAACTGAAATGCAGGTCTTCTCCCGCCTTCCCTTCCCCACTGCTCTCTGCTCCCTTCCCCCACCAACAGCAAACTCAGGGTAAGAGACAGAGCCACTAATTACGCATGCTTAAGCAGGCCTAATTTTAAGTAAACATATTATACGTAGTCAATAGAAATGTGTTCAGTCATGCTAATGAACACTGAGAAAGTACACAGCACTTTATTAAAACAAACAGGCTTCTCGTTTTTAAGTGCTATATGGATTGCAACAAACGGTATTTTAAATGAATTCCGGGAGTCTCATCTTTGTTGGCTGACTTTATAAAATCCGGGCCTTTAGTGCTCTCAAACTATGTAAGGTTTATCCGGTCAGTATGGGCCCACCTGCCCCTGGGTAAAGGCTCCAGGAAATGACAGTACCACTGGAAATGAAGAGGCTTCCCTCCACACACCTCCTGTCTGACAAGACACCTGATGGACAGCCCAGGACCTAGCCTCAGAATGTCCAAGATGGGAACCCCAAGGACAGTACTCCCAGTCGCCAGGATGAAGCCCCCGGAGTCAGACCACAGGCCCAGCCAACACTCGGTCCTGGGCCTCCTCATCTAACTCGTTCAACAGACTCAGAGGGAGATGCAGAATGGGGACTTCCCTGTGGCTCACAGTGTACTGTGTAAGGATATTACCAGTCAATGACCTGTCAACAACAGACATCGATGCAAATTTTAAAACTATAAAAACATGGGGAACGTGGGAAATTGCTATGTCTATAAAGCAATTTTAGTTCACAAGCAATTCACATTAAGAGTAAGCAAAAGCAGCAGGAAACCCTTGTGAAATGTTCAGTCTTGGCCCAGCCGCTGTGGCACCCTCTGCTAAGACATTGTGCTCTGTAGGTGGGGACCCCTCCAGAGGCCTGAGTTCAATTCCTGATCCAACCCGAAGACCAGGTGGGCGGTGTGCACCTGTAATCCCAGTCACCCAGGCAGCTGAGGCAGGAGGATCACCAGGTCAAGGCTGGCTCAGGCGATATAGTGAGACTATCCAAAAAAGAGCTGGAGGGACCAGTAGTTAGCGTAATGGCTATGTCGCTGGACTCCCGTGTAGTCGACCGATGTTTGAGTCTCAGACCCGGTGGCTTAAACTCACGCGGGGCGCGTGTGCGTGCGTGCCCAAGATCCCGAGAGGAGAATGGAGGAAAAGGGATTGCGGTGTGGCCATCCCCCCTCGGGGGGGGTTTCCTGCTTTCTGTCACTCTGTCTCTGTCTGTCTGGCGAGCGCACACACCCTATAGCAAAAACCTCTCCAAAAAAAAAAAAAGAAAGAGCAGGGCATGTTGGTGTGTGTCTATAGTCCTAGCTGGGAGGCTGGAGGATTGTAGCATGGTATGGCCATGTCTCAAAAAGTATTAGTAAGGATAATAAATGGCGTGGCATGGCCCTGTCTCAAAAAGTATTAGTAAGGATAATAAATAAAGTGAAAATTAAAATATAATAAAGTCAGTAAAACCAAATAAAAACGCGAAAGCCTACGCTGGCAGACCTGGAAAATAGGTAGCAGCCTGTATCATCGGTGGTACCGTGAACTGGTATTTCTGGAAGTTAACTTGCCAACAGACAGTAATGAAGCTTATTATCCTCAGAGAGGCCATCCTGCCAGCAAGGCACTGTGTGTGGCAGGTACCTCAGGAGAGTCAACGGTGAATTAAACACAGGTCCGGCCTCAGAGAAAGTTAAGCAAAGGCATGAGGGAAAGACAGAGGGCTATAGCACGAACTAACGCCAACATTATGAGGGGGTAATACGGCCCCTATTTGACAAATGAGGAAACCGAGGCCCAGGAGGGTGAGGGGATCTGACCAGGTCCCTGCATGGTGAGTGGGAGAGCAGACCGAGTACTAGGTGAGTTGGACTCCACAATCTAAGTTCCTTTCACCACAACGAGATGCCGTTTGTCCTAACAGCAGTAACGATGGCAACCTGAGGGCAGAAGTGATCACCTCTTCACTCTGCTGGCTCCTGCATCTGCTGGCCCCACCCTCCACCCCTGAAGTGTGTGTTGTGTCAGGCACACAGAAAGATGGTGAAGACAGCAGACAGGGCTCCGGCCTCCGACAGATGTTAGCCCTGTCCATGCCACGATGCACTTTGTTGTCAGGGCGAGATCCCCCACTAGACTATGCTCCCTGAGAGGAGCACCAGAACCGTCCTCATCTTTGTCCGGAAGCCCTCAAAACCTATACGCATGTAGGTACACAGGCTACACCCACACCCATCAGTCTTAGCTGACTGTGGAGAGGAGGGAGGCTTGCTTCCAACTGAAATCTAGGGTCAGAGGCTGTTTCCCAAGGGCGGGAGTACGGAAACCTGTCCCTTGAAAGATACAGAGATGGAACTCAGGATGGGCCTTTCAGGCAGGAAAGACTGTAAAACCAATACCTAGAGTGAGAAAAGAAAAGAGCCTGGGGAAGGCATAGTGGGGGGGCTTCAAGTACGAGTGCTTAAAGATGGGGAACATGTCTGCAGAGGAACTGTGGGGCAGGCCACAGAGGACCTGAGACCCAGCAACCTCAAATACTAGAAACTCATCACAAAGAAGTCACTCAAAATCTGTCTATACACAGGGCCAGCCAGTGTGGCGTGGTGGTTAAGATGGTCAGATGCCACATGGTCAACTGTGTAGTGAGTCCTGGACCCGAAGGCTTGAAAAACACACTGGGTATGTGGTACATGCACACCCAAAATCCCAAAAAGAGAGAGAGGGAGGAAAAGGGACTGTCACGTGGCCATGCCAAAGGGGGAGAGGGGGTGGTGCTTTCTCACTTTTCTTCTTTCTCTTGAGAGGGGGTGGTGCTTTCTCACTTTTCTTTCTCTCTCTCTCTCCCTCTATCTCCCTATGGTGAGTGCATACACCCTCTATCAAATTAAAAAAAAGTCTATATATAAATAAATGATCTACAGATACACCATTCCTATCGAAATCTCTAACTTTTTCACAGAAAGAAGCCATAAATAAGCTAATCCTAAAATTCGTATAGAAATTCAAGAGACCCAGAATAAACAAAACAATTGTTAAAAAGAAAAAGTTGAAGGATTTATACTTCCTTTGTTCAAAACTTGCTATAAAGCTACAGTAATCCTGTGTGGTACTCACATAAAGAAAGACATACAATCAACAGAGGAGAACTCAGAGTCCAGAAATCACCCTTCCTATTTATGCTCAATTGATTTCCAATAAGGATACTGAGACATTTTTCTCAATGGGAGAAAAATGGTCTTTCCATCAAGTGGGACGGGAAAAACTGAATATTCACATACAGAAACATAAAGTTGTACCCCTACCTCACACCACACACAAAAAATTAATTCAAACAAAATAAAAGATATGAGTGCAAGAGCTAAAAATACAAAACTCTTAGAAAAAAACATAGGCATAGATCTTGGTGACCTTGGATTAGGCAGTGGTTACACAACTATGTAAATATATTAAAAACCATTCCATTGTACTCTTTAAATGGGTGAATTATATGGCATGTGAATTACATTTACATTAGTTTTTTGCTAGAGGGTGATACACTTGCTGGAGAGAAAAAAAGTGAGAAATAACACCCCTTCCCCCAGGGGGGATGGCCATGCTACAATACCTTCTCTTCCAGTCTTTTCTTAGAACTCGGGGCATGGAAGCACATGTGCCCAGCAAGACTTTTAAGCTGCCAGGTCCGGCATTTGAACTGAGGTCAGCCATGTGGGCCTTAACCACCATGCCACCTGCTGGTCCATGAATTACATCTTGAGGAAGCTGCTGTAAAAAACCCTATACATAAATATGTATAATCTATCTTAAAGGTGCTTATCCATGAGCTCCCCCAGCACAGCATTGTGGTTAGAAGCCTGACTAAAGTCAGTCTTCTATATTCTGGTTATTCTCACAAGTCTAGCTATGTGAGTAGGGCTAACTCTTCAATCCCTAAGGAGTTCCTGTGCTCATTTTTCTTGTTTATGAAAAGGGTATACTAATACCCATCTCTAAAGAGGGGTCTTCTAAAGATTAAATGAAATTACTTTAAATGAAATGCATGGAAAGCATTGATCACATTTCCTAGCATGTAGCAAACATAAACAAATATGGGCTCTTATGATTATTAGTGAACACATATAGTCTCAGACAACTAAAAGCAACCCTATGTCCACAAGTGAGATCATAAACTAAAAATATGCCAGAACAACAGGGTCTACTTGTTTCATGAAACACACACACACACAGTTACGTGGAGTCTGTGTAGACATGCAGTCTGTTCTATGTGAAAATATAGCAGGAAAACAGCAAACACAGTGGGTCCAAAATAGGGCTAGCTTTGGAAAAATAAAGTATGTACAACGAAGAATGAGAGACAGAATTCCACAAATGAACCACATATCCGAAAAAAAAAAAAAAAAGTTCTGTTTTCGTTTGTTGTTTGGCTTGTTCATTTTTTAGTTTTTGCATGTGCACACACTGGAAAGAGACAGAGAGACACAGAGAGGGAAAGTGAGAAATCATCTTCCGGGGGGTTGGCCACACTGCAATCCCTTCTCCTTCACTCCCCTCTGAGGACTTTGGGCACAGGCACAAATATGCCTGGTGTGACTTTCAAGCCACTGGGTCCTCGATTTGAATCACGGAGTCAGCTATATGGGATCTAGCCACCTTAACCTCCGTGCCACCTGCTGACCACTGTATTTGTTTTTTATCTGCTGCTTCACTGTTGCGGATATTCTAAAGTTGGCTAACAAGTCATTGAAAATAATGTAAGTTATATTACATCAAAATGAAGAAGCTCAAATTATCCCAAGGGCTTCTAACACAATTTGATAACCAATGTGCAGGACAAGAAACTCAGAGTACCCGGGATCCTGAAGACGGCCTGGATTCATCAGCAGTTCCCTTCTGCTCGGCACTGCTCAGTGTCAGAGTATTTGGTCAAATTCAAATCCTCTGTCCTCAGTGTGCAGTCTTTCCTGTTCTCACTTTTGTCTGCTCTAGAGTTAAAAATGAGCACATTATTGCATACTGTGTTCCCTGGGTATCTTTTGATTTTCTTTTCCTTTTGCTTCTGGGTCTTGTGCAAGCTTGGTTTTGGCAACACCAGCAGAAAGACTGAAGATGAACTATAAGCTGCTTCAATGTCTCATTTCCAAGTGAGCCACTTCAACAGGGAGCACCGTTTTGAGAGAGGAGACACTGTTCATTCACGTGCCGCCACCCGGAACAGTCTGCGAACTCTTAGAGAACCAAGGCGGACAGGCACCAAAAGCAGCAGGTTCTATTTGCAGGTAGTAAGGCCTCCTAAAATGCTTCCAAAGAAGAATGCATGTTAAAAAACACCTAAAAATATACCTGGAGGGAGAACCCTTGTGACGAGTGGAACTTAAGGGTGACTCACGTGTGTCCACTGTCTCCTGAATCGGGATGAAGCCAACAGGCAGCGTGTCCTTGATGTCAATGAGCTTCATGTCCACTAACACATTCCCCAAATGACTCTTGGGAAAGAAAGAAAAGAGATACGGACTATTAATCTGAACACGCCTGTGGTAGATTTGCCATTCTGGCTTCAAGATGCATATTTAACACCATGACTCCTACAGCTTCATGACAGTGGGTTAATTAGAATAGGTGACACTTAATGTTCCCCAGTGGTTACGCAGGAACTCCGGGGGCCCCCGGGAAGGAGTTTCATCTGCAGAACCTCAAAGCCACTCACTCAGACTTGGCCTTGGTTAGTCTGATGAGCAACCCAGGGGACACTTTAGACAGAACCCAGCAGAGGGCAGCTGTGCGCACATGGTCTGAAAACCGACTGCCAGTTAGCCCTGAGGATCAGGTCTCAGGACAGAAGGGTTTTAGGAAGAGCTAATTCTTGGGGCACTCAGAGTAGAAGCACTTCATCGAAACCTCACAGAGAGTCAGTCATGCTCCTCGGTGATCACCAGTCTGCATACAGATGCACACTTTGGTTGTTAGATGCATTTTGTAAAATCCCAGTAATCATAAACCAACACAGACAAAAGCCCTGCTGCCTCGATATTACACATCTTCTACAGTGACGTGTACAAGAGCCTCTTTAAATTGCCGTTCAGCGTTAGTATATGGGGTCCACGGTGCACACTGTGAAAATAACTTTCTTTTCTTTTCTTTTTTTTTTTTTTGAGAGGTTTTCGCTATAGGGCGCGTGCGCTCACCAGACAGAGAGAGACATAGAGACAGAAAGCGAGAAATCACCCCCCAGGGGGGATGGTCATGCCACAATCCCTTCTCCTCCATTCTCCTCTCAGGATCTTGGGCATGCACACACACGCGCCCGGCGTGAGTTTTAAGCCACCGGGTCCGGGACTCAAAATTGCGGTCGACCACGTGGGAGTCCAGCGACATAGCCATTACGCTAACTGCTGGTTCCCAAAGTAACTTTCGAAGAGGGCACAACGTTCTGTAATTTCAAGAGAGAATTCTTTGCAAACGTCTGACACTTGCAGCCAGCATTTCAAGTTGGAAGCGAGCTCTGCAGACAGCTACCCTACAACTGAAGTATGTGGGGCCACCTTGGAGAGTCTATTAAAATCTTCAGAGTAGTCTGCAGCTTAGCTCCCTGTCTCTACTCAGAGCCAGTTAAAGAGAGAATTATGGGTTCTGATCCCAATTCTCTCCCATTAGGATACTAGTGATGCCTTTGGCACACCCATTTTCCCAAAGCGCCTCACCCCCTGAGCCCGGTAGCAGCATGCTCTCAGTGTGCGTGTTCTGCATCCCTGACAGACATCTGACTGGTCAGCCTCTCACTCTGCCTTCAGCAGCGACTTCTCAGGACGGTGTTTCTGTCTTGCTTAGAAAAGAAGGGTATCTACCTCCATCTCTGTGCATGGAGAGCCAGGGCCCTGCCGCCACCTGCTCAGGGCCAACTTGTGCAATGGCCCTAAAGCCAGAAGGGACCTCTTACCCTTCCACTACATTACACAACTGTCCCTTGGTATCCACAAGGGACAGGTCCTCCAGCAGATACTAAATTCCATGGATGCTTGAGTCTCTTATACAAAATGGCAGAATATTTGCATATAACCTATACACACCCTCCTGCACACTGTAAGTCATCTCTCACTTATTTATAATGCCTAATATAATGTAAATGCTATGTAAATAGCTATCACATTGTTTAGGGAACAATGACAAGAAAAGGTCTGTATGTGTTCAGTTCAGACACAATTGATTTTTTTCTCAAATACTTTTGGGAGTTGGTTGGATTTGTAGAATCTGTGGGTATGGAGGGCTGACTGTATTCTCTTGGCACTCCCTTTTTTTTCTTGTATCAATTAAAAATTATATATGTGAGGGACTGGTTTGCATCCTGGACCCAGTGGCTTAAAACTCACGCCAGGCATGTGTGTGTGCATGCCCAAGATCTCGAGAGGAGAATGGAGGAGAAGGGATTGCAGCATGGCGATCCCCTGTGGGGGGTGATTTCTCACTTTCTGTCTCTCTATCTGTCTCTGTCTGGTGAGTGCACGCGCCCTATGGCAAAAAAACCTCTCAAAAAAAAAAAATTATATATGTGTGGGGCCAGCAGGTGGCGTGGTTTTTAAGGCACTGGACTCTCACATGGCCAACTGCGGTTCAAGTCTTAGACCTGGTGACTTGCTTTCTCACTTTTCCTCTCTCTCTGGTCAAATTAAAAATAGTAATAGTTAATAAAATTACATAAAATAATAAAAATATATGTATTTGTGAGGCTGTTTTACTTTTGTCTCCCTACTAGGGTTAAGAACCATGGCAGGCCACAACTAACTCTGTTCTCACTGAAAATCCAAATCGAGCATAGTTCTTACCATGCAGTAGGTGCTCAATAATTTATTTGCTCAATAATTTAACATTTTTTGGGTACATTTCTCAGCTGGGTGGGACATTTGGAGTCGGAAATCAAACTGGATTTGCTTGGATGACAAATCTAAACTCTATCAATAAAAATCCTGACAGTAGACTTCATAAATCCATTCGGTGAGTGCACGCGCCCTATGGCAAAAAAACCTCTCAAAAAAAAAAATTATATATGTGTGGGGCCAGCAGGTGGCGTGGTTTTTAAGGCACTGGACTCTCACATGGCCAACTGCGGTTCAAGTCTTAGACCTGGTGACTTGCTTTCTCACTTTTCCTCTCTCTCTGGTCAAATTAAAAATAGTAATAGTTAATAAAATTACATAAAATAATAAAAATATATGTATTTGTGAGGCTGTTTTACTTTTGTCTCCCTACTAGGGTTAAGAACCATGGCAGGCCACAACTAACTCTGTTCTCACTGAAAATCCAAATCGAGCATAGTTCTTACCATGCAGTAGGTGCTCAATAATTTATTTGCTCAATAATTTAACATTTTTTGGGTACATTTCTCAGCTGGGTGGGACATTTGGAGTCGGAAATCAAACTGGATTTGCTTGGATGACAAATCTAAACTCTATCAATAAAAATCCTGACAGTAGACTTCATAAATCCATTCTGAGCCCAAAGTACACAAATGGGATAAATCTTGGAATTTAACCGCGAAGGTCAAGGTGGCGCATGTAACCTGTGACCAACGTTTTTCTGGCACTGCCGCCTCGAAGCCATTTCTTTCTCTTGGAACCACTGTGTGTGTCGGCAATTTAGTACGACACATTTTGGATAGCTGGGTCTCGGGGAGACAATGTAGGACGCAGTGCAGCAAGTGTGGAGTGGAACCCTCCCTAACGCGGAATAAATCTCTGGCTGTGTAGGAAGGCTTTGAACTGTTAACCCAACTCGCAAACATCGGCTGCTTTCAGAATTGCCTGATCTAATCTATCATAATTTTTTTTCGTGGCAGTTGCTTTTCCATGTCATCACTGCTTTCCGCATTGAGAAATTAACAACTGGGCATGTTTTCCTGCCCTGTAGATGGATGGGCATTCATCAATATCCTTCTCCAACGTCTTCTGCTTGACAAGTTGGGTTTTACAGAAGTCAACTGCAAACCACTTAGCGACCTCACCCTCCACACTGTCTGCAAATGTCCCTGATCATAAAACCAGAACATCAGTGGTGCAGCCATTAAAAAAGGCATCGCAAAACCCTCCTTTGCATACAAAACGGGAGGTCGCGCTGTCGAAGCGTCGTGCAGCCCAAGTGTGGTCCCTCCTCACACGGGGCTGCCGCTGTTCAGGGTGTAATACAGCGGGTCTGCGACACCATTCATTTTGCTTGTTCCTCTCCCCTCCCCCACCAGTGCTCTTTCATTTCCTCCTCATAAATATGAAGAACGTATTCCCAATCCTTGTTGAGCAAATGATTCATGCCCAAACCCCAATATGCACTGACTCAGGGTATTTATATCGTCTCTGGTAGCCAGTATTTGCTAGTATACTGTAATTATTTTTGACAACCTTGCATTTAAGGTAGCCACAGATAACCAACTTAATATTCAAATGTTCATAAATCCTTCTGTTTAATATCCTCCCTACCTAATCTATGTACATTATTATTACAGGTAATGCAGAAAGTAGAGGGCATGAAAAGTGCAATTAATCTCGATCCTTCCCCAGGAAGCAATGTCACTCCAAAGCCCGGTTTCTGTATTAATAGCATTATTGGGGAAAAAGAATTTCAGTTCCATAGGAGTCTCCCCAAACTCCTACATTGGGAGTCTTAAGTCACCTCATTAAGAATCTGTCCGGTCCTGAGATCTCTCATCCCTCCTCGACAGCTATAAAAAATTATGCTCTGTAAAGTCTGGGTTCAGGCTGCAGGGCCAGGACATGCTGGCTGGACCAGATTAAACAGGTCTGATTCCTACTTCACTCTTGGGAGGACTAGGGAGTCCTTGCGTCCCCCACGACTTGATGCCAGATCAAATCTGATCCCGTGACTTGATCAAGCGGATCCCATTATAGGACTGAGTCATTCTTTTTCTGAGAACAAAATACACTTATTTCCTACCTTGCTTCAGAATCAAGGCAGAGCTTTCTCCCACTGCCTGTAACTTCTTCTTCTTCGTTTTTTTGTTTGTTTGTTTGTTTGTTTGTTTTAAGAGAGATTTTTGCTGTAGAGATGTATGTGCTCACCAGAGAGACAGAAAGCAAGAAATCACCCCGCGGGGGTGGCCATGCCGCAATATCTCCTCCTCCATTCTCCTCTCGGGATCTTGGGCATGCACATACATGTGCCTGGCATGAGTTTTAAGTTGCCAGGTCTGTGACTCGAACCACAGTTGACTACACAGAAGTCCAACAACATACCATTACGCCATTTGCTGGTCTGCTGCCCATAACTTCTTACACCCCCTTCTTCATACCCAGTCAGCACCTGTTTAATGGTCAGCAAAGGTCTGCGAGATCAGCGTGTGTTCTCTCATAGCCCTGCCCAGGACACCAACACTGACCAGCCCTAGTGACCACTCTGTGTCGTGTCGAGCCAGTCACTATACCCACTCCGAGGGGTGCAGGGACTGCTCTGGACTAGAGTGCTAGCCACAGCCTTTGGGGAAAACACAACAAAAACAGCAGTCAAAATGTCCACAAAGCAGGGCCAGCAGGCAATATGGTGGTTAAGGCAATGGATCTCATATCGTCAGCTTTGTGATTTGAGACCCAGACCCGGCAGCTGGAGACTCACACCAGGCATGTATGTGCGCATGTCCAGAATCCCAGGAGACTAAAGGAGAAGGGATTCTGGTGTGGCCATCTGCCCTGGGAGGTGATTTCTCACTTTCTGTCTATTATTCTCTGTCTCTCTGGCAAACACACATTCCCTATAGCAAAAATCTCTTTAAAAAAATAAAAGAAAGGAAGAAAGGTTTCCAGTATTTAGTGCCACGACTTTTCCCTTCTCCCTATGAGCCCTGTATTTTACAAGTATATAGTGCTCTTGGAATTAGGCTGGGGAAATGAAAACAGTGACTTCTCTCTTGGTCCTAAATATGTTAGGAATAATTCTGACCAAGAATTATCAACAAATGACCGGAGTAAGTAACGAAAGAGAGCACAAGCCAGAGAACCATGTGATGTCCACCTGCAGAAGACATGGGAGGGACATATGAGGACCTAGTGACAGGGCCCTGGGCCTGCAGGGGTATGTGGTGGAGGCAGACTGTGGCGTTTCCCATTTCAGGCTTTTGAACGAGGCTGTCTGAAGTTATTGTTTTGCTTTGTTTTGGTTTTAAACCGTGATCACAACTGACTGCTATAAAAAATTCACAAAAACCAACTGATAAAAATAGTTCCCCAAATAAATATTTACATTAGAAAGAGGTAAAAACAGGCCAGCTCCATAGCTGGGTGGTTAAGGGGGCCAGATCCCACATGGCCAACTGTATGGTTTGAATCCCACCCCAGTAACATGAAAAACACACTGGGCACATATGCATGCGTACCCAAGATACCACCAAGATGGAGAAGTGGGGGAGAAGGGATCATGGCATGACCACGCCCCACTTGGGGGCACTTTCTCCCTCTCCCACTCTGTTTCTCCCAGACAAGCACTTATGTCCTCTGGAAATATATTTTCAAAAAAGAGAGACAGAATAACGTTTAGGCCAAAAATAAATGTTACCCCCGAAAATGAAAATCTGGCCACGCTTTATTGGGGACTAGAAAAGCCAGGTGACCTGAGACAAGCGTGTGAACTCTTGGGTCTCAAGTTTCTTTGCTTATGGAAAAGAGTATCTCGAGAGATTGTGTGAGGATGGGAGGAAGCGTATTTGCAGAGCATGTGGGATGGGTCAGTGCAGAGGAGATACCAGAGCTAATTGTCTTTTTTCTAAACCACCCGCTAAAACACCTCACTGGAAAAGCCTTAAAGTTTCCTCATTTATGGGCTCAAGTATTAAAAAATAGCCTTCTAGGAGAAATCTGCACGTGTGGCTACCTACCTACCAAAATTACACAACAGCATGTCTCACGTGGAGGCTCAAAGAGAAAGGACGGCCACGCTGGAATCAAGACCATCTCTATGGGCTGGAGGCTCACGTAAGTCCCCCTTGGCCCAGCACTGCCCTTCGCTGGACCGGCACGACGTCCAGCTCTGCTGGAGAAGTCTCCCCTCCATCCTGCTCTGTGATTTGTGGGGGAAACGCAGGCGAAGGAGAGCTGCGTGAGACATTTCCTGGTCTCCTTCGGAGGGCGCTGTAGTAGAACTCACTGTACACTTGGGTACGTGGTTAATAACACTGTTAATACGCGGAACACGCTGCTAGTTGCTGTTTCCACCCAGCGCGCTCAAACCGCAGATAAAGTAACAGGGCAATGAAAATAAACCACCTCCACAACAGGAAAATGAGGAAATTCCAAACGGTTAACAGGGCAATGAAAATAAACCACCACAACAGGAAAATGAGGAAATTCCAAACGGCAGTGTCAATTACTCGTGCTCATTCAGCAGTCGGAAGCCGCGGCTCCTGGACTTACATTTTCTTTGGAAAATGATCTTGTGAAACACAGGTATCTGGTAACCTTGGATTTAAATAAGCCGTCTTTCCAGAGGTCAGCGTCCACACCATCTGCCGTCTGTGCAACCTACACGGAAAAGACAGAGAAAGAAGGGCGACAGGTAAGGCGCAGTGAGGTCAGGGCAGGGAGCGGGCTCGCGGTGTCTCCCGTACCTGCCCCTCTTAACGACGGCCGGTGCTCTGCTGGCGTGTCGTTAGTTCATTTCTCCGGGCACAGGGAAGAGAACTTCCGAGAGGGGACATGGGAGAGTGTGAAAAGTACAACTTCTAAAAATATTGTCCCCGGGAAGCCATTGATTAAAGACACCCTGACGAAATGGCTCTAATGAGAAGAGTGGTGCCGGCTGCACTGGGCCAGGAAGGGCTGAGGATGAGGAGTCAGCACATTAAGCTGCTCAGGTCCACCCACGCCGGGAGGGCACGTGGCCGGGGTGGGGGCAAGCCCGACGGGGTGTGAAATGCCACGGCCTGCCTCCTGGCCTGGGGCAGCAGGGGTGCTCCGGGCAGCGGGATTGTGGGGGCCGGGGGTGCAGCAGGAAGACTCACTCCACACTTGTCCTCTTGGCACAGCCCTGACACTGCCATCAAGGTCAGAAACCAGATCGTGAGGGGAGCACTGCAAAAGGCCCAGTTCCTGGTCTCACTCAGAGTATCTTCTCACGCACAGCCTAGGAATTCTCTTCCAGCAAACCAGCCTGGTTCAAGGACGAAGCCAGCCCTGAGCTGAGTCTCACAGGCCCAGCGTACCGAACCAGAGAGTGGTGCAGGTGATGTGTGTCAGGGGACAGTGTGAAGGCCCACGCTCAGTGGAAGAGTTTACGAGGAGATGGGAGAGGAGGCCGGGGCTGGCAGAGGGTGGTATTTCCTTCCTAATTCTTTCCAGACTGCTCTGGCAATAGGCGGTCAGGGCCTGGCCTGTTCCTGCATCCGGCATGATGATGGTGAGAACATGAATCAGCCTTCCCTGCTGCTGTCGCAGCGCCACAAAGGGGGACACCCAGGAAGAATGAGGGGGCACTGCCAAGTGTCCAGATAAACCCTGAGGGGGTCTGAAGCAGTTTGCTTTCTGGCTCATCCTTGGCTGTCCTTTTGAAGATCCAGTCCTTGATCTGACAGGCTTCCAACCATCATGACAAACTGCTAAAAGCACCTCCATTTTTTTTTAAGAATTATTTTATTTAACTTTATTTGTTTATTTTAATTTGACCAGAGAGGGCCAGAGCAAGAGAGAGAGAGAGAAAGGAAAATGAGAAACAAGTCACCAGGCCTGGGACTTGAACTGCAGTTGGCCATGTGGGAGTCCAGAGCCCTCAACTACCACACCACCTGCTGGCCCCAGCACCTCCATTCTCTACAGAAAGCTGCATGGCTTAGCTCCACCTGGTGCACGCCGAGTCATGCAGCACAGAGCACCGCAGACCACTCGGCGAGCGCGTCCACAGCCTGGCTGTCGGAGGCTGGGGATCGGGTGGGCTCTCTGTGACCCTGCAGAGTGAGCTCGGGCTCCCCGGGACGTTCCCAGGACATTCCTGGAGCCCACCACGGCCAGGCTCTCCAGGGCTGCCTCGGATGACCCGGGAGGCCAGATGGCAAAAGAAAGACGCTGTTCTTGAGAGCCAGCCATTGTGAAAGAGCAAACCCGACAGCAGGAAAAGGAAGGTCTTTGTGCTAAACACGCAAATACCTTTGACCTGAATGCTGGAGGAGGGCTGGTGTGGGGATAATTTTAGGAATTGTTTGCTACAGTATGTCACCCCCGCTGAAAGGAACTTGCTGAAACAGGGATCGGGCCTCATCAGCACTTTTCCCATAATGGTAACATGTGAGCGTTGGAGGAACAAGAGGTTTAAGGCAACAGTCTCAGCTTCTCCACCACCAAGGACCCCTTCTGCTGCTTTCTCCCAGAAATTCCAAGTTTTGAAAGATCTGTGTTCAAACTGGGACTTTTTGCTGCATTTCCTCAATTCTGGGGTGCAGTCATTTGGGGAATCACCCATGGATTTAAGGAACGCCCTCACACACATACACACACACACACACACACACACACCACATAGTACCATACTAGAATGTACACATGTATTGTAAGATCATCCCAAATTTAGAACCAACAAAATGAAAAAAAAAAAAAAAAAGATGTTCCAAGAACAAAGAAATGTGGGGACCTAGACGGTCTCTGTGCTAAACGCGTAATTTCTGATAAACTTAGACAGGGACGGTCTGCAGGACACGTGAACACGTGGAGGTTGTGCCAGAAGACAGAGAGCTCCACAATAACCTTGCCCTAGAGCAGAGAGGGGTCCAGGAGGGGTCGCTGGGTACCGGGACACCCCACAGAGGGTGGTGTGCATTCTAAGTTGGGGCCACTGTTCCCAGTGTTTGAAAGTGGTGAATCCTTCCTCTTACCCCATTGCCAGAATTCTCCTTTTTCTGAGTGAGAAGATACTTACTAAGGTAATGCAGAGAAAAAACCTGCAGAGTGGGCAGTTAGAGCCCCCCAATCCAAAGACCTCCAAAGGCCCAGCCTGGCCTTGGTGGAATGGTACCAGGAGGGAACCTGTCCTCCCCAAAGAGCTGAGAGGAGGGAGGACAGAGAGGAAACCCCTGCCCCAGGAAGTCAGTGCAGGGCGCACAGCTCAGGAGGCCGGGGCCGTGTGGGTTTTATTGGTGCAGGAACCAGAGGGCCCAGGGAGCAAGGACTGGGAGGCTGCCAAGCTCCTTGGAAACATGGAACAGCAGTCCTGGCAGAACAAGGAGGGCAACGCCAGCCTTGCCCTCTCCACAGCAGG